TTGTCGTTGTGAAACCCAGCATCCAACGCCAGTCACCCAAACCCCACGGTCTCTGGGCAGATGGAGGGGTTGACTTGTCAGCTGCCTGTCAAGAAAGGAGGTCATTCCATTTTGCTAGGCCTACCTTTTTTTAATAAGGCGAAAACAGAAATGGAAAACACCGAGTTAAGGTGTTTAAGTCTAGCGGACTTTCAAGTAAACTGTAACAGACAGCGCTACAGTTGGAGCACAATTCATGCTACAGGTTTTAGGCTAGGAAATGATTTTTACTTTTGCTTCATAAAAGGTTAAACAAAACTAAACATGAATAAATCCTAGATTTCCATTGGTGCCCTTCAGTTTTACTGGGTCTGACGGCACTGTCAAAACACAGCTGGTGCTGCCAGCTCTAATAACGTGGAGGTTGTTAATAAATTGTCAAATAAAAGTTCTTGTTCTACCGTGATCTCAGTAAAACCTGATATGGCAAAATGGACAGGATCTGTGGCTGCCCAGAGCAACCAGGGGTCCTCGTATCTCCGATGGTTTATAAGCTCAGGTCTGACTCATTCCAACTTTACAGTCACAGTGACCTTCCAATTAGGGCTCCATTATCAAAGGTCTATTACAGAAAGGGTAATATATTTTGCCAGCTGCAGCTTCTTCATATAAACTGTAGTGGATAAACAAAAGCGCAGCTTTGAACCCCTATGCAAGTCATGGGTAAGTGCCTTTATTATGGCATAAAATGAACGCACATGTGCATAAACACATGAGGCATAAAAATAGTCCAAGATGCAAAACTATAATGTACAGTTACTGGCAACTGCAGGCATCTAGACCCCACCTCCTCTGAAAAGAAACACCTCCCCACATCAACAGAGGGGCCCCTAAGTGTCTCTAATTACGTGACTGGATCAACAGAACCTTCTGCTGTTTGACTTAAATGTTGTGTTTTAATGACGGCACCGAGGACATATAGTAAACAAACCAATGGGATTCCAGACTTGTGGGTGCACAAGCATTGTCTGATGTCTTTCCAGCTATGCTAATGTTTGACTAGATGGCTTTTAGATGAAAGACTGATTAGTTCAAGTGTAGTCCTCCTCCAACACACTCCCTGTCTCTGTTCAGCGTTTGGTGTGTTTTTCCCAGCAAAGACTGAAAAATAAAAGAAGGCTGTCAGCTAATTTCAACTCAATTTACTTCCATTTACTTGGTCCCTGGAACCAATTTTACAAGATAAGATTTGTGCAGTTGCGCCATGCTTCTAGGAGTCATATGATAATCAGGAGATGGCTTCCACCATGGTAATACACCCATATAACATTATTTACTATGGAGGCTAGCCAGCAACAGAGGGCCGGGTATTTTCTGTAGGTGCATTTTTTTGAATAATATATAGAATACAAACAAATCAACAAATGTATTTTCCCCACAGGGCACGTAATGTTTGAATCTCTTCTAAAACACCTTTTGGAACTATTTTATCTGTTGGCCTTTGCGTATCAAGACACATATTTATACATTACAGATAGCAGAGCATTGACAATTAGATCATAGTCGGACGGCTGTCTGTCATATTTGGTTTTGCATGTTAAGTACTTTTAGGTCTGTTAGACGGTAAGAGATTGCTGTCAGATCTCTAACTCTACTAGAAAACAGCTCAAACATCCCTAGATGGGACCATTAAGTGCCCCTTTGATCAGAGAGTCATCCTCTGGGGTCCACCTCAGAGGGTTTTCAGAAGCAGTGTCCAGGTCAGAGGTAAACGCTTCTCTTTCATAGTGAAGACTGACTGAAAGCCAGGAATGAGAAGCCTTCCCTGAACAATCCTCGTCTACTTCCTTTCCTGATGTTGGTGATATATCTACGCCCGGTAATATTATGTTCAGGAGAGGCAACAGCACAAAAAAGTCATACTGGATTTCTATACGGAAATCACAAGTTCTGACACCAGTTTTGCTGTCTTGTTAAATAGACCAGTCAGAAATGTTTGAAAATTCTATCATGTTGGCCCTTTATAGTAAGAAAGTTCCATTATATTCAATAACATTTAAATGCAAATTATTGTTTGTATTTGTTATGATAGGCAAGTGATGGAAGTCTTGAATATGAATGTTTTTCAAGCTTTTTTTTGCAAATTGTAAATAGAAATCCTCTGAGCTAAATAAGAACCAGTGCATATTATTATACCTCAAAGGCAGCAAGACAAATATTACAGGCATACAGCCGGGCTGGTATACACGAGATATGCAAAGCAGCGAGAGGTGCAAAACAAAAATGCAATGTTGAACATGCAGTGCATATTTCAAATCAAATAACCCTCGCAACAGCTAATCCTGTCTCTGAAAGTAAAACTCACTGTGCTATCAATACTAAAGGCTCAGACTCCAAACTAAATTTAAGCTTGTATGTATAATTAAAATGCAACACTAAGCTTTTTATGCTGAAATAAAACCAGTGAAGGTGAGAACTCACTATTACAAAGGAACTGCAAAAACAAGAGAGGAAGAATAAGGTTTTTTGATGTTATGTTATTTGTGTTTTGATAACATTGGTTTTCGGAGACAGCCTCATGAATAGTATAATGAACCTCCAAACGTCCAAAAATATATGTTAGGGGTGAAACAAAAAACAACAGAAATATAAAACAGCTTTCAAATGGTCAAAAAAGATTTTCAATAAACCTCAGCAACCAAAATCATCTGATGTTATCTTCTAGAAAGTTATACGTGAAGAAACAATCTGTTTAAAATCAGACCCCTCATGCAGAAGGAACTTTGCATAAATCTTTTACCTTCATTTCCCGTAGACAGCCTCAAGCAGCCTCTATTAATATTCACTCTTAGGGTAAGGCTTTTATATAGTACCCCTGCACAGTGCTTATTGACATTCCCAGTGAGAATCAATAACACTATGTCTATCACTGACCAACATCTTAGGGTTTTGTGATCTAAATACACAGACTGAGTGTATCAACTTGACTGTTTTTTTCAAATCACTGCCAGACTCCTCATCAACTTCTGCTTTGGGCTTGGGATAGTTTACACATAGTTTGCAGAGTTGCTATGATACAACCAGGCCATCCTGAGGAAACATGTGAAGGGAATCTATGACGTATGGATCAGTGACCTTCACTAAGCCTCAGCTGTATTAGCACATGGATTTAGCCAACAATCAGAGAAACCAGATAACCTTGTCATTACTGTCATTGGCACGTTAAAGGATGGGGATTCTACATTTGTAAATCCTTTTAAAAACAGACACACGCTCTCATGGAGCCGCTCTGTCTTGATCGCATGGAGTAACTCATAAACTCCACCCCACTGGAGCCTTGCAGTAAAAGGTCAGGAGCCCTCCAGTGACAGCTGCCAATCACAGGAGATAGGTATTAACCAAAACATGGATTGTGAAACCAAGATGTGCAGCATGTTATTAATGTTGAGGTTAGATAGCTGGATTGTTTGAGATAAAAAAGCATAATAGAGTTGACGTATGAAGAGATTGTGTGTATGTTAGTGTGGAGGTAGCAGGGAGAGCACCTTCACCTGGACCAGAGGATCAATCAGTGCAGGTGAGAGCTGTTAGCTGATTGAGCCTCTGGTACAAAAGGCAGCAGCTGAGCTGCCTCAGAAACACATGCACAGAGGACAGAGACAGTCACAGAGAGACAGTGATAGAAAGACTGAGCCGCAAAGCTAGTTGTTTATGTTTACTGTTTGATTTAATGAAAGATGTTTGTGGTCCAGTGTGACAGGGATCTATTGGCAGAAATAATCCTCATGATGTTTTTACTAGTTCATTTCATCTAAATTGTACAAATTGTATTTTTCTTTACCCTAGAAAAGGCCTTTTATATTTAAATACTTTATATTTACATGGAGGGGGGGTCCTCTCCACGGAGGCCACCATGTTTTTTTTGACATTAGTCCAGACTGGACAAACTAAACACCTTGTGAGTTTTTATGACAACTGAATCTACCATAGGTTCTCTCTCATTCATATTTAGAAGGGGAGAGTGAGGTGAGGGGTGTTCAGCTGTGACATGCAACTTCAACACTCGATATCACTCAATTCTACACACTGTACCTTTAAAACAAGAATGTTTTGTCTCTGGCTGCTGTGGTATGTTCAACTGCCACAAGTAGTATTATTTTATGCTGTTTAATAATTCTCACTGTTTAAATGTGTTGTCACTTTTCATTAGGTACAGAAAACATAATAGCTTTGTTTGCTGATGACAAGTCATGGCAATGAGGGTTTTCACCCCAGAAAATCTGGAACATGGTGCAAACTAAGATTCATGTTTTTGTTATTGTAGTTCAGACCGAACTAGAAACGAATATTTTGTGGGGTTTTGTTAGACTTGTTGCAGAGGTTTTATGAAGTGAAATGCAAGTTGTAATGCTGTAGTCTGAATTTAACAGTTGACAAAGCATGCAATAAGCTAAGTGACTCCTACTCATACCACAAAAACCTTTTTACTGAAGCTAAAAAATAGTCAATAAATAAAAAAAAATACAAGATTACTTCTCAGGCTCTGTGTGGTGTTGTTGTCACATCAAATGTTTTCGTGTCGACATGGAGGTTATGAGCGATACAACCCTGCAGCGACAAGGAAGCTGAACTCAGAGATGCAATGTGACTCTCTGAAAAAGAGGTCTGTTAGAGGCCGGGGAGGATCACCTGTGATCCAAGGATAATGAAAAAATACACTGTCTGATATTAAATTCTAACAGATGGAGAACAACTGAGAGGCTTGGGGTGTTGTTCTACCTTGTCTGTGGATTCTGCCTGCTTGTCTTGTGGGAGAAGGCAGTGATAACATGGTGTCAAGTTCATTGTTTTGAATCTGACATGCAAAAGTGAACAAATACTGTAATGTCACACCACTGCTTCTATATTATAGGTGTGGTGTAAAGGAACATTGCTGCAAAACACGAGCATCAGGGACCTATTATTTGGATGAATGGTAGTCAGTATTCTTCACATGAGTAATTTTTTGGGCCGCTCCTTACCTGTCTAGGGCTGCAGGGCGTCCATTGCGAGGTTTGTTGACTTGGGCATAGATAGCTTCCAGGGGTGGGCCGTTGTCCTGAGGGCTCAAGGGAAGTTGAGGGCTCAGGGGACTTTGAGGGAGATGGTAGGGGTGACTGTAAGGGTCCATGCTGCTGCTGTCTACCGACGAGTCTAATGATCCGATGCCAGCGTAGGTATGTTCTTCATCTGAGCTAAAGGTGCGACTGACGACATCCTGGATCTCGGCATATTCCCTCTCCTTTGCCTGCCTCTCCCGAAGTTCCCGCGTCTTGGCCTGTATTCTGTGATAATCACAATGAAAAGGAACAGTGTGACTCTTTTTTTCTTTATTTGTGAATCATCTGACAAAGGTAAATACACAGAAACAATATTATTTCCTCACTGGAAAAAGTGAGGGATTTTACGCTCAACCTCTAACAAAGATATTATACTTTTACTTTTATTTGACTTTGTGTGAATACAGTATGTAGTTTGCCAACTTAAATTAGTGCAAAGTATATAGCATAGGCCAGAATGAATCTGTTCTTCAATGAATCTATGATTTTCAGGCAGTGAGTTTCTTTACTGTGATGCTCACAAAGTGTATCTACAATTAATGTTCCAGCTCTGTGGATGGAAAAACATACATTTTTTATATAAGACTGGAAATATTTTTATAAAGTTTTCACAGGTAACAGACAAATACGACAACTCACAAACTGCATGATAATTGTGGCAAATAAATGTATGTATTAGGAGAAACAAAGAGATACTTAATGGTATTTGAGGTATTAACTTGTAAGCGAATAAGATATATAGGGTAGATACACAGGAAAAAGAGATGGCAAAAATATCAGAAGGTCATAATATAATATTCCATTCAAGACTCAGAGAGGCTCAAAGCAGCTTTAAGTTTAATCTTAGATTTAGATCAGTCCAGACTTGAGAAAGGCTCACTTAAACTTCTAAAGTAGCTTTCATGTCTGGTAATAGGTAATGAGGATAGAGAAAACGGCCCTGTAGTTACAGACACCATTTATTCTGCTTTTCTGCGTTTGTGGGTTCCTTTTCGCACAACTAATTTTGAGCACTTTGGAACATTTTGAACATATATAAATTAGTTCAGAACCAAAAACGTTGGTTCCCAGCTGGAACCACAAAGTAGAATATGTGTGTACACTGATGACATCAATGCTCACGTCATATTCTACACTGTGGAAAGTGCTTCATTGTGCTTTTTGCAGCGCCCCAAGTTGATGACACATCCTTGATTACAATGGCTCCACTCAAAACTGTTGAAAATGTGAGCTTGTTCACTCGATAGCACCAGGGTTCCAAGAATCCTGAATGTAGCTGGTCCAAGAACAAGATCTAATTAGGTGCAACAGAGCATGCAATATTATTCAAATATGCAGTTTTCCATGAGCCATTAGAGGGCTGAGATATGTGCACTGATCTTATTCCACAGGTCCTCGAACAAGAGGAGGTGGGAGGGAGACAGTTAGCTCTCCTCATCCTCCATCCCACGCCTTCCTCTCCCCAGGACCACTTCCACACAACAGAGCCTTTCACAGGACCTTTCCTGTCTCGGAGAACGGTTCCATGTGAATGCCCATCTGTCTGCAGCTAACAAGACTCAGTCATGGTGTTGCATGTGCTGGCATTGTAGGAGACGGGAGGTGGACATTGGGGAGCGGGGAGGAGAAGGGCTGAGGACAGGCGGAGAGGGGGGAGTTGACCTCCTACTGCGGTGACCCTGGCAGCAGCCACCAGACTGCTCACTGGTTCCAGATGTATCACAGCTGTAGGGTAACACACTTCCATACACATCCATACAAGCACGCTACCTCCCACTATTCCTAGACTTCCCCATTACCTCAGGTCATAGCTGACCTCTGACCCCCTGCTGCTGCTCTTCACAGATGACTGACAGGCTAGGAGCAGAACTAAAATCCCCCCAAGCCTCATTTTCTCCCCCATGTCTGTGTATTTTAATAACAGTAATCACATTTCAAACAATCACCATTTTTCAAGGCCGGATTAACCCGATTCCCACATCTTACCCATAGACCGCCTTGTTTATTTTTAGACAACGAAAATCCCATTTTCTCAGCATTATCTCCACAATGAGATTCTGATGGCGGCCTGATGCAATGTTACAGTATATGCAGTCATCCAGAAAGCCTCTTAGCTTTTCTGGTGTATTTCTGCATTGTTTCAGACCAGGTACAGTATGGAAATGATCAAATCACATCACAGATGTGCACACCCGGTGTGGTCTTACTTTAGCTTGTGCAGTCAAGAAACAGAACACAGGCCACACAAGGAGGAAAAATCTAATTCCCAGAAGCCCTTTCACCTGCCATCTGGCTAAAGTGATGTCAGATCTCTGCCAGAAAGGACCAGACAATGATGTTACCACAGGTTCACAGAAGTCCACTGGGAACTCAAGACCCTCTGGCGTTTTATGGACTAATCTAATTCATAAGAACGGCGATATTGACATTTGGGATGAGATAATGGCCTCGGCTAGACTGGCGACACGAAGCTAAAAGTGAGAGACTTCTCTTTCAGGGCTCAAGAGTCTGACATGGATAAAGGCTAATAGGTGCATTTCAATAAAAGGGTATTAACAAGCCAATGCCACAGATGTGAGTCATGCTTTAGTCATTAGTTTTGTTGTTACACTCAGAGCCATCCTGCGCTGTAACTAATTTACTTTTATACAGGCATCAACTTTCAAAATAAGCTTGCATTTCCCTGCAATGACACCCATCACATTTTCAGGGGAGAGGTCATGGCTCTTTTGTAAAACAAATCTTTCTGTCTGTGTGTTTGTGGAGAGAACATATCCACAATCTAAACCTGTCAATCTGCTCTGTGAGGCCTATTTCAACTTGTTCTGGCTGTCAGACAGAAATGCTGTATCACACAGCGTTAAATTTCCAGCCTGGTAGCAGCGGGTCTCTGTGGCAAGCTGCCATTGGAACGCTACATTCAAGAGCTCATTTTATGCTGCAAGTGTCATGTGTCAAGAATGAAACAATAAATCAATATTTAACTGAAAGTGGTGAATCCAACTGACTTTGGTGATCCTGTTACTTTTCATCCAGATGTCCCATTAGGAAAAGGGGAGCTATAAACTACCTTAACGAGAAGGATTGCAAACAAATGTTTGTCTCAGTTTACAGATGATGGAAAAAAACCTAGATAACAAATGACATTTGCATTTAATTAAAATGTAGTGCCAATCAGCACGAAGGTAAAATACCAACACTACACATAAACATGTTAGTGATAAGCAAAGCAGTGTCACAGAGATACTAGTCCGGCTGCAGATACTATTTTTTTTTTCAACCGATTGGATTAGTTTTCCTTTTTGATAATTCTCCAAAACCTTGATCTTTTCACAACCATCTGTGTTTAAAGCTGAAACCCAAAACACCTGTAATAAAACACTACCACTGTGCCCAACAACCCACCCCTCCCCCCTATGACTTTAATGTGCTCTAATATGCTTATTAGCTCAAAACCTTCGCACCAGCTAACTGCTTTCTTCTTGGACAACCTGCAACTGCTGCTCCATGTCCAGCTCCTCTCCTCCCCCGGCTTTCTCCTGAGAGACCACCCCCGCACTGTGCCATATATATACTCCATTAGCCAATTAATGTCCCAGCATGTTAACACTGAGGAAAGTGCTGCCCACACTAAACACATTATTACTCTACAGCCCCAATTACTAGCCCCTTTCCTCTCGTCTTTTCTTACCTGACACTACAAGAAGAAGGGACGCTGCAATTTTGAATGCCGTAAGCTTGGGAGGATTATATTTCAAAAAGGTGACAAGCAGCCACACTGTGGATTTTATTTTTTGTATTTTATAAATGGAACAACATCTGTCTATAGCTTTACCTCAATTTTCTTGACAAATGTCTATCAATTTGACTTCTAAAGTGTCGGCTTTATCGCTGAAGACCCAAGGAGGTTCATTGTCAACTGCAAAAGTATTTGATGAGCTGTTCAAAGTACAAAGCTTCAAACATATTTCAACCGGAACAGTTTACAGGATTCAAATTTCACTTTATAACGCTGTATCTGTACTTAACCCGTGCAAACTGAGTGGTTTCTGTAACAAGTGGTTTATGTGAAGTTGTTTGTATGATGCTATACAGAAATCTCCCAGTTAGATTAATGCAGGCCAAGCAGTCAGGCATTTTGAACAGACCCTGCAGTAGTAATACTGATGTCAGGATGAAAGATACTTCCAGTATTACATAAGTAATTACTTGGTTTCTATTGTGTCTTTTTCTATTGTCAGTGCTTCACCTTATATTCTTACAAGAAGAATTAACCTCACATCTACCTTTTAATTAAAAGATGAATAAAAAGAATACAATGCTTACTTACTCCTTCATAACAGTGCAGTGGAAAGGCATTTCCTCTTGGCCGGAGAGTCTAGACAGGCTAATGATGAGGTTTTCAGGGCAGTAGAAGTTCAACTAATTCATCCACTGACCATGTCTTCATGAAAATTATGTGTCTGCCAGATGACATTATTCTTTCTTTATCCTCCGAATCCCTATTCTTTCTCTGTTGTTTTTTTGTCGTTCATTCACTGCACTAAAAGGAAAAACTGCACAATCACAGTAACTAAAACTGGATTTGTAATTACACTCTTGCTCAGTGTTCTTTTCAATGAGTGAATGTGAAAGCAACTGCTTTAATTCATTATAATGGTAGAATGAACAGGCCTGGTGTAAACTGATAGCAACATGTAAACTAACCTCTCGTTCTTCCTTTTTACACTGATTAAAACTCACTGTTTATCCAACAAGGCTGTTGTTTTGGACCAACGAAACCAACAGACTCCTCCATATGTTTGTCCATGTTGAATCTACCCAAAGGAAGTCTGGGGGGGGCGGCTGTCTGTATTCTCAGACACTCATTTTGAAGTCAGCACACTTAGAGATTTGAAAGCCTGCCTCCTCAATATGCATTGTTACCGTGGTGGTTGAAACAGAATGTATTTGCACTCTTACTTTCTCATCCAGACGCCTTGAATAGATTTTTCTTTTCAATACCCCCTCATCAAAACATGGTCTATTGTTCTGAAGTGCAGATGGAGGGCAGACTGATTCTGAATCTAATCAAAGTGCAGTAAATGACTCTGCGCGCAGCTGTCTGTGCAGAATCACAAACCTCGAATAGCCCATCTTTTGTGCTGACACTTGGCCCATAACAGCATAATGTAATCACAAAGATAATTGTGCAAGTTTCATGGTGTCAATTCACACTATTAATATTCACATTAACTTGCTGTAGGTATCAATGTAATTACAAATGTAATTACACTTCCCAATAAGCCAGTAGTAAGTTCCTTTGAACTCACTATGCAAATGAGAGTGAAATAGGATACTGAAATAATGAGATGGTTTGACAAAGAGGAATGATAATGTTGGTGCCATGATTACAGGGAGAGAAAAAAGAAACGAGAGATCTGCTTTTTAGCACTTTTTACAATGAACACAGTATAAGAATCCAAAAATCCTTGGCACAAGGTCAAACATGCTCCCAGTGGGTGTTGGACTCCCCTAGGATTGCCCTTTGTCACCAATTCTGTTCCATGATTTTCATTTACAGGATTTCAAGGTGCAGCCATGGTGAGGAGTGTGTTGACTTGGGAACCTCAAAACTCTGTCCCTGCTTTTTCTATAATAATGTGATTCTGTTGGCTTCGTCAGACCGTGACCTCCAATGCGCACTGGGGCAGTTTGCAGCCGAGTGTGAAGTGGTCGGGATCAGCAGCAGCGACTCCAAGTCCAAAGCCATGATTCTCTGCCAGACAGTGGATCGCAGAAGTTTAAGCACCTCTGAGTCTTGCTCATGAGTGAGGGGAAGATGAAGCATGAGATGGGGCGAGTGGGTTGGTGTGGCATCATGAGTAATGTGGGTGTTATACTGGACTGTGGTGAAGATCAAAACCTTTAGTTTACCAGTCGATCTACATACCAACCCACACCAAAGATCATAAGCTCTGGGTTGTGACTGATAGAAGATTGGGAATACAAGAGGCTGAAATGAGTTTCATCAGTCGGGTGCGTGGGCTCAGCTTAGAGAAGAACTGCTGCTCCTTCACGTCAAAAGGAGACACTTGAGGTACAGGATGCCTCATGGGCGCCTTCCATTGGATGTGTACTCGCCCATCTGGGAGCAGACCTAGTAGATGCAGAACTAGCTGGAGGGATTACATATCCCATATGGTTTAGTAATACCTCGGGATCCCAAAAGAAGAGCTGGAAAGTGTGGCTAGAGAAAGGTTGCCTTTCTGACCTTGAATATGTCTAAGAAAATGGATTGAAGAATGGTATAAGAAAACGACTTCAATAAAACACCCGATTCTTGATCCATGTGTGTCAAAAAGGAATTGTGCTGACTGACCTTTGAAATGCTGTTCAGGTTTTGTTTGTCTGGAGTCAGCAAGAAGTCAAACAACAAACAAGAGGAAGCGGGTCACTGTCAAGGAAAAACCAGCAGTAATGTGTTCTCCCCTGGTCTGGGAAATGGGAACAAGGAGAGTGGCAGTGGAGTGCTGACTGCTGATTAGAAGCCGACCAGAGCCATGCAGATAAGAGAGAATGGACATCATAATCAACTGCCACAGACACATACAGAGTGTGAATGAAGTTCAGTTCAGGCCGAAAATGAGGAGAGAACATTGTAAGGTTGTCTCTGTGTGCTCCCCACTTGGCTGGAAAAAATAGTTTCAGGGCTAACATGTGCAGAGATAAGTCAGAGAATGATAGAAGCTCCACCAACACCACCTGTGTTTCTTTCTTTCCCTCTCCTATCCCTGATGGCCCTGCATGAATGAGGCCACAGCCAAAGAGACGGCTTCGCTCCAATCCACCCAGGGTCCAATCAGAGAGCTTGTTGTCTTCTCGGTCCTCTCAACATGAGCCAATCAGGCAGGGCTGTCTTGGGTGCTGTCCACTGCTGGGCTGAACAGTGATTAAGATCAGCCTAACCGCAGGCTCTAATGCTGCTTTGATGAGACATGAATCAACCAATCAGAAGAGCTGTATACAATCTGCCAACAAAACAAATGCCTCTGATAACCACTACATCAGGTCGATGAACTGCTCTGTAGGTTTATGCACTCAATTCTCCATCAGCTTCAATGATGCTTCCATAAGCAGCTGACAAGATAGCATTTAGAAGAACATTTTCACTCAGAATAAACAGGTCTGTAAGGACTAAAAATGGCCAAACCATAAACCGAATGAATCATATCAAGGTCACAGTTTTAAATTTATAACTATAGGGACCTTATTGCAGGGCAACAATGGCAGGTTTTATGAATTAATTTGCCTCACCTCTTCCCTGACTCCTATTTTGAGTCACAAAAAGCCCCTGTCAAACCGTCTGCATTAATTAATGATCGCTAATGTCAGCCGAGCTGGGGGTTTGGCTGCAGCCCATCCCATATCGTGCTGACACATTGTGCTGGCTTGATGATTGCCAGCTTCAGGAAACCCGTTACGGTCCGATCCATATTTTCATAAACGCACTCTGAAATGGTCCCGTCTCCGTGGCAGCAATGCAATCAATCTAAGTGTGTACCTAAAGCGGAGACCTACGACAATTAAATGTAGCACCCTGGGAGTGTAATATAGTAGCACAACCAAAAAATACAAGATGTAATGGATTTCTGAGCTGTCGTCCTGCTGAACCTTAATGCTTTGAATATCGACTTGGCTTCATGGCAGGTTGGTTTATTATTACCCACCACCATCTCCCTCAGGATTCCCTTTCCATTAACCGTGGGACAATCCTGGCCTGACTGAGTGATGGGATTTTGGAGCAGGTACAAAAGGAAAGAATTAGGTTGCCCTGGTTGGGACTGGAGCTCACAGATGCAGAACGGACACAAACAAGACAAGGAATGAGAATGTGCTGTAAGACAAAGTAGCGCACAAAGAAATTGGTTGACAGTGGTGAAAGAAGAAAAGTATGAGCAAGATTTAAATTGTGTGTGGGGAGGGGGAGATGAGGGCATGAACTCTACATATCTCATGCCCACCATGCATCTGTGTTGATTCTGCTGCTTAGGACGACAGTCGTTTGGGAGCTGCTCAAAGGGGAGAGATCTGGATGGAGAGCCAGGCACACTGGTCTCCAGGGTGAACTGAGGGAAATATGTTGGGCCCTCATCCAGAGGGGTCTGCACCCACATTCGGAGAGGACACTCGTTGCAAGTCATAGTTGAATACTGAAAAGAAATGTGCTACAGCTTTTTGAGCTAGGCCTCCAGATGTTCCATTCAGCAGGGAAGAGGCCCTTTCTGAGTGTGTTATGTGTGTGTGTTCACACTTGTTTGTGTTTGTGGTATTGTGTATTTTCAACATCCATCCATCCTTCTCTCTCTTCGCCGTAAGAGGGAACGGTATCAAGCCCTATTGTTTCTATTCAATTAGCTGTCATTACCAACGGCAGTTTGATTACTGAGTTCAATTGGCTGCTAGAGAACAATGGCAGCAGCAAGCTGTCTTTTTATTCAGCCTGCCACCAATATTGTCTTCCCTGCTGGAGAATTAAATGGGGCTTGTCTTTGAGGGATGAGGTGCATGCTGCAAAACCAAAGCTTTGCCTTTTTCTTGCGGGCGCCCTGATGTCCACGAACACTAGAGGACACAGAGCCAAGAGGGCTGGATAAAAAGGAACAGCATATTCTTGAACGATTAACAACCTGGGAGAGCTGCAGGAGAAGACAAATGCAGAGCTACATCGATTTCGCTATTATAATGAGCACCATTCAATCATGCCAAATCCACAGGGGCCTACGAGCACCATTAGGAGGTCAGTGCCTCTGAATGGCACAGGCAACAACAATCCATAAATGATCTATTTAATGTACTGATATAAAAGAACGGGACATTTCACAAATTGACATCTGAGTGCTTTCCCAGAATTTCCCGACCTTGCGCCACCATTTTGTTAATTAGGTAGTTTGCTAATTTTCCAGTCAGCAGTGTCTTTTTCCCCCCTTTGTTCAGCCGAGACTTAATTGTTTAGGCTTTTAGCAAGCCAAGGCCCTGTCTGAGCACTCACCTCTCCTGTTCCAGTCTCATCCGCAGGGTCTCCTCCTCTGACACCTGCATGTCCTCCTCTTTAGATTTACTGAAGCTCTTCCTCTCCATCCTGTCTCCTGGTCGCTCATCCTTCCGGTTCTTTACAAACCTGAGTAAAAGAAGAGTGCACACTGGATTTAATTGAGGCCCAGGCTTTAATAATTTTAAATGCAATATAGATTTTTTTACAACTGTATTCCTTGTCCTTTGTCCAGGTTTTTTATTTGAAATATTCAGTAGGAAATTAAAGTGTCAAACTGTCAAAGTCCTCAGTTTGGGTTTGTATTGGCGTGACAGCTCAGGGGGAGTCTCCATGGGCACCCATTCGTTATCGAATGAATAACTTTTTCAAATAAATGCAATCAAAATGCAGCAAGCCGTGTAAAAAGATAAGTCCATATTGCAAGTTCCCTCCAAAACAAGACTCAATCTAGGATGGCAGAAGAATTCACTGTGCAGTAAGTCAAAAGCAGACTTTTTTAGAGAGGGTGTGAGCTCCTCATTTCGTCCCTCAGCTGCAGAGTTTACTGAGCGAGAGGAGCAGTGACAGCTCATGATTTAGTTTTGAGCGAGGAGGGAACAAACTACCTGCAAATGGGCGGAATGTAATGTAAAAGTGGAGGAAACCACCAAGCTGGCGGCATCATTTGTAAGATTCTAGGCAGTGTCACCAACTTCTACATTTTAATGACAGGAGTGACACGCCGGTTGCGGTAAATCCGTGACAGCCTTACTGGAGGTGAGAATAAGTCAAGCCGGTGATCGCAAATTCCTCTGGTCAGCCAAGCTTGCTGCTCGGCAAATGAATGAGTGGAGTCTCTGGCTGTGTGGGGGGTGTAAGAAAATGATGATGATGAGGAATGGAAAATAGAGGGGAGGCATGCAGTTGACAGGAGTATGGTGCATTTACAGGGCTGCACACTCACAAACACACACAGAAAATAAATGGACAACTCCCTAGTCTGACTCCACTGCCTGAGATGTTATTGCTCACAACAATGTGCTCGTGGGTAACACTAAGATCAGATGCCAACTTTATACATGTGCACAGAATTTAGTGATAAAGTGTGAACTCTCTGATGCGACAGAACAGGAAAGGCAATATTGTGAAAGTATGATGTCATTTCCTGCTGCTCCACAATGGGGCCAGCTGTGGAGGAAGTGCAAAATGGCAGGATACAGAAAAAGGATGTATTAAAGACAGATATCCAGGAAGTGCACACGACGGTCATTTTGCACATTAAGAAGCACATCTGCACACCATACATGTCACTGTATCCACTACAATTCCTGGTTAGTGGTTCTCAATATATATATACACCTGTAAATAAATAGGTTTATCTGATCAATATATGTTGATAACCTATAGAAAGTGACATTTGAGGGAATTTTTATATGAAAGTTGCGAAGGTAGACGTGATTGCTGCACTTATGGTTGGTTATTGTGGATGCTTTTGGTATTGGTTCAACACATCTTTTCATCACTTTGGGTGGATTAAGCACAAGAGGTTAAACAAAGGACATAAATTAAAACCAAATCCGACTTAATTAAGGTAAATGTTCTAAGAGGAAGGAATGTGTGCAACATATCCCTAAATGATTTCATTACATCTCAAATGAAAAGCAGGAAACAAGACAGTCAGCCAAAGCTGGAGGTTATGCGGTGACCTGAAGAAAAAAGATACATAAATATATATATTATTTGGGAAAATATGAATACATAAATATATATATTATTTGGGAAAATATGAATACAAATGGTAAAACACTGCCAGTGGAAAGATGAGAATGTTTGGTTAGAAATTACATGAACTGAAATGCTGAGCCAGAAAGCTAACATTCTAAATGTGGAGCTACTTAGTGTGTGCACTTTAACAGGCTCCAAATGTGAAAGTTCAATTAAAAAAATGAGGGACTGCACACCTTGTACTTTTGATTGTTGACTTATGATTGCCAGGTTGGTGGAAACCAGGCCGCCTATATGAACAAATGTGATGATTGTAAAGACAGAGCAATAAGAGAACATGTACAGGCACAAGGGCATGAGGCATGAAGTGAAAAGAAATTCAATAAATATAATCACAGCACAGGGCTGGATTTTTATTGAGTGTTCATATTGCATAAGGTAACGCTGTGTGCTCGTATTGCACATAGACATCGATTACTATGTTCCACATGGGCTTTTTTTTTTTGAACGGTCCCGTTCAATTTCAGGCACCGGCACAGGAGAAAGCATTAAGCTCTGCAGTCTCCCAGCTCCACAGTGCTTCGCTTTGAGTTTATTTTTACCTTCCTTGTAGCTGAGCTTTATTTGACAGTTTGAAAACTTTCTCTGAAAGCAGGAAAAAAATCACATCAGACAAGGTTGACTTTGGGCCAGTGGAAGTGAAAAAATTCATGAAATGGGAGACTGTTTCCCTCATCGATGTTTATTATTCTACTTTACATTAAAAGCAACCAGGAGCTTTGTGGAATTGGCTTCTCAGTGGTAGGGGCTGCTTTGGAATTGTAATCTTTTGAATGGGCTGTGGCCTGGTGGGAGCTCCGACTCTGTGGTTGTGCAGGGAGCCCAGGAGAGGCGGAGGGAGTGATATGTGGGTTCTTTTGTAGCATAGATAGCATACATTACCTGATTAATTAATCAACAAATGGCTCTACTAAGGCATAAAACTCCAGGATGGGGTTGAGAATGCTAATAATAGTGAACCTGCTATCTATCACCAGGGCAGGTGACAGCTTCCCTCACCTCACTACAAAGACTTTCATTAACTTCCTGAGGAATATTCACCTCCCTCTATTCCTCTTCCAGTTTTTCCTCAGTCTCTTCTTATGCCAACCCACCTAAGAACACAAGCTAACCTTAGGGGAGACAAACTTCTGCCCTTAGCACTTTTTCTCCTTATTCTGGATCGACATCAATACGGTTAGAGATTTGTCATAGTGAAACATATTGGCGGATTAGACTGAGCAGGATCCTGGGCATGCAGCAGCTCCCATATGAAAGGCTATTCCCCCATCACCAGTGGCTCGAGTAGATGGTTCCACATCAAAGCAGAGGCGGAGGAAAGGGACAATCCTACCAGGGCTGTTAGACGGCTCGAGACACTTGCCGGTTTACCAACATGGCTCTGCCCTTCACGTGGAAAGCCCTAGTTCTGCCAGTTGGGACTACAGTGAAGCCCAAGATTAGCAACCACACCTTCAGTGATGCACAAACCTCAATGAAATATTCCTCCACTCAACTTGGCAGAAAGAGATCAGAGATCAGAAATCTGTGGCATCAGTGTTTGTATCAGTGTTTGTATCGAGTACAAACTATTGACTTTCACATCTGTCTATGAAAGATAAGTGTCTGGTTTGAGAAACGAAGTGAATCGGCTACAAAACCAGAATGATTTTTGGTTCATCTCGGTCAGGAGGGAGGAAATAAACTCAGCTGTTTCTATGGCAACTCTTGAGCCAGTATTGGCACCTTGGCATTAATTAGGACTGGCATCAGGATCCTTGTATTGATAGTGAGGTTGTTGAGGCTTGATAATAAGATATTGATTGGCAGCAGCAAGTCATGAATAGAATGACAATGGAGTATCTACACTGCAGTTTGGCAAAGAGAACTTTATTGGATGTAAAGGACTGACCAGTCAGTTTTATTGCAATGTGGCTGCACAGCATTAAAACTACAAGCCAGGAGTCTGGACGGCATTGTTTCAAATAATTTTTCATCGGAAGTGCAACAGCTATGTGAATTAAATATATTATGAGCACACAACTTCTCTCAATCAGAACGATATAACAACAGACCTCTTGAAACAACACCGGACAATGGAAGTTGTTTTCTTCAACACTATTGCCCAGGAAAATCTAAGAGAAGACTGCCATCTGGCTAACTGGTTAGCAGTGTGTTATTCCTCTGTCATTAATAACACAGGTCTAGTAATTTTTGGACATTCTACTGAATAATTGTTACATATCATATCATTGATCTCAATCATCCACATACTGTATTAGCTCTTTCCAGAAGAAGTAGAAAGTGGATCTTTGAATCAAGATTATTAACATGAATGACTATTTGACTTGCATTAGTCACTATTTAAGCAACAGCTGGACTTCTCCATTCAAGCAGGTGAACAATGATACGCCATTTACCTCCTCAAAAAGCTCTGATCTTTTTCTGCCTCAGTCCCCCGGACCAAAGCTCTGTTTAATGATCCATTCCTAAGCATCTATCTCGCTGTGGCAGACAGCAGGTAAGAGTGATGAATACAGAAATGCAGAGGGGCCCCTCAAAAGACAAAGAACAGAGGTGCAGAGAGATGGAGATCGCAGAACCACCTGGGTAGAGAGATGTTTAGTTAAGATTAAATGAGTGCAAACACTGAGTAAGATGATGTGTTGATCGCAGGGACAGTGGTAAGCACACAGAAACCAGATAGGATCTTTAGGCTTCTTTCAAAGCTCAAGCTGATTTGTGCTATTCATCATTGTTTTGGCTGATTGGACATTAAACCTCATTTAGACACTCTTAACACGTGTCAGCCAAATATAATATATGCTTTATTAATGCTGTGATAGCTCCCGATGCGAGGAAACATTAACAGTAAAATTGAAGTGTTCAATCAAAGTCTCCTGGGTCAGACATCAGCTGACAGCATCATAAAGCTAAATGTTTTTATGTACTGATGAACATTCGGCATACTGTGTTATCTGGTTTAACTGTATGTATTCTAGCTTTACCTGAACAGAATTCAGTAAATATGTACTCCATTCAATATGATGCATCATCTTCTATCACTGAAAACAGAAGGGTTTATACTACTAGCAGTCGGTGCCTCATACATCATCTTCATTGATTTTACAGGGTAATAATACTTCAAGGCTGCAGCACAACAGCATTTCCAAACAGTGAGAAAAAGAAAATTATGCAAAGCCTCAAAGCCTGTTTGATTGTTACAATCATTTAATCTGGGGAGCAGATTTGAGAGAAGCAAATCTGTTCTGACATCTTCTGAGGGGAATTTTGTGGATTCCTCACAGGAAGTTTGTGACTTAGGGAGCGGGAGCTGTCTTTTCTTTCCTCTTATCTGTGGTTCTTAAAAAGTAAATCCATTG